GTGTTGGAAATATGAATTATATGTCGTATCCTCCTCCTTTTCCTGACATTAAAAAGAGTAAAAATGTTTACCTGTTGTCCGAAAAGCACTGTGTATTCAGTTTTCTCTAATGCTTAAGTGGGGAATTCAAAAGCAATTTTTACAAAATTTTTAGATATTACCGGGCAAATTTATTTTAGTATTAAAGTGCAATATTTATTCAAATCAAGTTCCCTAAACCTTACTTTTTTAATTTATAATTTTACAATCCAAATCATATTTGTGCAGCATGGTAATTTGCATTAAAGTATTTAATATGGTACTGTACATCACACAGAATGAGTATAGGGGTGTACCGTATTAGATACATTAAAGAGGTTGGGATGCCTAGTCAGTTATATAATGTACTTTATGAAAGTAAATATTGGCAAAATATCTAATAATCCTACAACACAAATTGGTTTCTTCCAAGAATCATAACCTTAGTGTAGTTAAAGTTGTCCATCGTCTAGTGCACTGCAGGTAATAGTCAGTCAAAATATACATCCCGTGTCAGTGTTTGAATCAATATTGTACATGTGGTTCAAAAATAGCTCAACTGCATCTCCCAGCAGTCATTTGGAGTCTTGACTTCACCTCCCACATGAACTTACGATGATAACCGCACTTGCCTGGACAACGAACACCTTCACACTACTGTATTTTTACTCTTGCATACAGATTCATTCCTTTTTCATACATTTCAAACAATATTGTTTGGTCCTGGCTCCCATTACAATGTAATGTTTACAAATGCCAGAAAATAAAATATTGACTGCTGCCCAGGCAAAGTCAAGGGCAAATGTGTTATCGTTACTGATCCCTACAAAGTGATAGATCTCTATTAAAATAATTATGCAGTTGGATGCTCCTTTTGATGACCATACAGTACTTTCAAAGTTAATGAATAAAAATTATGAAAATTTTTTACAAATCCAATAATTATAAAATAAGCTCTATGTTGTACAGTATACTATGTTCATTACTTGAAAATGTTTGCCATCATCAAATCATCCTCCAGTAGTAGTTTTAACATTTCTCATGAAATAACCATTTATTTCTAAACCATGCTAAAATTATTTTGCTTCTAAATAAGTCTAAAACTTAAAATTCAAGTATCTACCATTTGATTAGTAATCACAGCACTGCAATGGCACTAGTGAACAAACTTAAATAGTTACATACAACTTATGACAATCCAAGGACTGATAACCTAACCTTGAAATATGAAAACTTGGCAATTTTACACTGTAATCACCCTCCCCACCTTTTTACTACTATTTATTTCCCCTAAACTAAGGTAACCGACAGTGTGCACTTACTGTAGTAGCTACTACAGTATTATCAATGTCAATGCAGTACAGTAATTATTTTAATTTTATTATATCCCTTCACAGATGTTAAATTCATCAATCCCTAAACAAAATCATGTTAAAATTTAAAATCTTAAATTTCTTAACAAAAAAAATTAATAAATAATAATAAATTATTACAGTATTATTATTATTTCATACTGCTCTTTCAAGACTGCCATTATTCTATTGGTACAATAAAAATCTACTTTGTCCTTCCAATTCTAGAATTCCAAATCAAAACATTGGCTAGTAACCCTCACACTTTCTCCCATCCTGTTCTTTAAGCACTTCCTTGGGGCACATCAGATCCCATGATCGTCGCCGTGCCTAAATCAACATAAGCACTTCCTCTAATTTCCTTTCCATACTGCGAGTAATCGATGAGGTCTTCTTCATATGGAGCAATCACTTGCATTATACAAGTAGATAAGCCTATATGCTTGGCTGGTATTTTGTGCACTATGTGATCTGCAGGAGAATTCGAATGAAGAGTGGCCAATTTGTAGCACACCAGTGACTGAATATTTGAGAGTACAGTATTAACAGTGTTTACCTAGTGCAACAAATCTACGATTGTATTGCCAAAGGTCTACAGGTAGAAAACTGAAACGGGAAGGCCTCCTCCCTCCCACCCCTTTTTCTTCTGCCCTGTGCAAATTTCATTAACTATCCATTACCCCAGCCCGTCCTCCAAACAAAGACCCAAAAGCGATTCCATGCACCTGCCAAACTCCCCGTTCACGAATGAAAAACGGTTTACACACGACTCGACTGATTTTGTTCGAACACTTCCGGAACAAGTGCTTCATTGACAAATTTTGTTCGAACCACAATGCTATAAATGCTTCACCCGCGTACTGCAAATAATCGCCAACAGAACCTAAACACCTAACCTATGCCTATATAGAGTATGCACAATATGCTAATATATTATGATATTAATTTATGAGAAAATTCCAGTTTTGAATGAACAGTATGTTAAAATTTATGTGTCTGTGGAGTTGACCACTGGATGTAATGGACTTAAGTAGAGGACGGGTTGTTTACCCAGATAAAACATGTGGCAATTTTAAATTCTTATAAATATTATGGCGACTAACTTTACAATAGAATTTAAACCGACTGTGCAAATACAAGCACTGGTGGACAAGTACCATCAAAGCAAGTAATTATCAAAAGAAGGCACCAAACCAGGAAGGCTATGTAGCACCATCAAATGTGTGGGATAATCAGAGGGCGCTAAATATCACCAAGGATGCCAATACAAGAACAGAAACATATAAGGCGAGCGATATCAAAAGTATCTTGTTGCCAAGAATACTATCGAGGGACAAGCGACCGCGGGGGACAGTCGGAAAATAAGACACACGCTCATCCTGGAAGTCAGGACATTCAACAAAGATATGCAGGACCGTAAGAGGGACAATGCTAATTGGACAATAAGGAGCAGGGCAGCGCTCCAAGTGACCATGAGTTAAGCGAGTATGGCCAATACGCAACCTCGCTAGAGCCGTTTCCCATCGCCGGTTACGGTGCTAGGACGACGGCCACAACTCTTAAGAGTATGCAGCTTGCTTCCAATAACAGAAGACCAACAAGCCTGCCAACGGGTAAGGATGGAGGAATGGATAACCGGGTAAAAATTGTAATAAGATATACCTTTACGAGAAATGGGACAAGAGCGGACAGCTTCCCTGGCGGCAGCATCCGCACATATTTAAAGAGACACCAATATAGCTAGGAACCCAACAAAACTCGGACTTAAATTTACTGTGAACAAGAAACGGCCAATGCTGGATCTCGACAACCACTGGATAAACCAGATTAAAGGACCCGAGAGCCATGAGGGCACAACAATTACAAAGGAAGATTGTCAACGAGAGAGCAGGAGACAGAGCAGAGAGAATAGCATAAAGTTCCACTGTGAAGATGCTAGTCTCCGGAGGTAAGCGACACACATAAGTGCAATCAGGAAAAACAACAGAGTAGCCTACACCGTCTGCAGACTTAGACCCATCAGTGAAGACGGAGCGGGAGTGAGAAAAGTGCTCAAGGAAAAGGTGTTTTAGAATCGTAGGAGGGGTAAAAGCTTTAGTGATGCGGGTTATGTACAAAACTGCGGAAGGGGGACTCTCCATGGGGGCAAAAAAGAAACACGAGGAGAAATGTTAGAAAAACGAACTGAAAGAGAAAAGTACCATCAAGTAAAGTTCACCCACTCTTATGTGCAGGATGTCTGCAAGCTGAGTGCACATGCTCAGGGACTATTTGATAACATACTGTCTGAAATCCACTGTCTCCATGCACAGGCAGGTTCATTTGCTTTCCATGTCTTACTACCGACTTAAATTATTACCTATTTCAGTGTCTTGAGCCGCCATCAAGACTTTTATACTTTGGAACATCCTCCAGCATTATCAACTACACAATACACTAGTTTATATACCAATCTATAAAAAATAATTTATGGCCATTATAGATTTCACTACTGGAACGAAATTTTCATGTAGCACAGGCTATGGTGAGCCCATAAGTGGAGGCTCTTTGGAGCCATTATCAGTATCAATAGCCAATACTGGGGGATGGGGTCCGTGGACAAGCCAATAAAAAAAAACCATATAACTAGTCAGATCGGTGAATTGATGGGGTACACACATCTCTCGCAGCTGAGTGCCACAGGAGTGCTGCTGTCGGCAGGCTGGCCGGTCTGTCTAGGGAAAGATATCTAGGAGTTGCAAGAGTATTGGTTTCCTAGTCCCCAATTTTGGTAGTCTGGTTGAATTTCCTTCAAGGTGTCAGAGGTAGTCAAGGCGTTCGAGAGACTACCATGCAATGAATATGTCTTGCTTTCCTACACTCTTATCAAGAAGATAAACATGAAGATAACTGCAGAAGGCCTATTGGCCCATATGAGGCAGTTATTTTTATCCACCCAATCTCATTTCTATCTACAAATGCATACCAATTTATGACAATTCATACAATTTCACATGCACTATGTAAACTGAAAGATTCGGTGTTCCTAAAAATTAGACAAGATAATTAGTTTTATATATTTACCAAAATGTCAAATGACAGACTAAGCAGGCAATTATAAAAGAAAAAAAAATGCGAAGCTGGGAAAGCTGCATAGCACAAAAAAAAAAAACCAGGCGACTGCTTAAATAGAAATGCTGTCTCGTGCTACCAATTCAACATTGATTTATTAGCCCTCCAACCCTTAACACCTTGCCATTTAATAGTGTAAATACATGCTAGAAAATTCTTGAATACCGTCACAAATTTGTTGCATGGGATCACATTGCCAGAGTCAATATACCTTCAGTTGTGCAGTATGTAACTTGCAAAACAGCTCATTTCTTATCAATTACAAGAGAAAATAAAAATTAACAAAAATGAGTCAATAAGCCATATGAATTTTAGGAAAAGGCAAAGCCAATTTTTGCAACACTCCAATGCTATTTTTTTAACCATAAACCCAGACAATAGCCAGAAATAATTATCAAGTATTCTAAAGGCAATTAATAGAGCACATTTACCTTTCTTCTCGCCTGTGAAAGTGTAGAAGGCATCAGCCAGGAGGAACAGAATATTAAAGTAAAGGAAGGTTATAGAAAAAAGAAATGATTACCAACTAATAAGACTTTACTAAAAGCTTAACACCACACTATAGATTGCACTATGTCAATATACACTTCTTGCATTACCAATCACAATCATTCACAGCAGTGAAGTACAAAACTGCTTATAGCACAGCAAGACAAGAACAGTCATTAAACCATGAACTATCTTTTAGTAGCAATTTAGACAAAGAAATTAAATTATATATATTTTAATTTCTTTGCCTGCAAGGGCTACAACTTTCATGTACAAAAAGACACTTCATTTTTAGCACTGTTCTACCAATACAAATTTAGGAAAATAAGCCACAATGTGTCCAAGTCAACTGAATTGCTGTGTATAATGCACATTGTTATGAACTATAGCCTTAGTGTAATACATTTTAGAAAATTGACAGTTTTAATATTCTTGCACAAAATGTATTTTAAAAACCAATTTGGTTAAGTGACAAGTCACAGTACTCCATTTTGAATAATTTCAACATTTAGGGTAAACAACAACAAAATTAGAGTAGAGATTTGAAAATGGGTGGCAACAAATATTGCAGAAAAGTTAAATTTGAAAGACATTTTAACGAGAATAGAGCAAATGAAATGCTGGTATAATTAACATTACAGGAAATTTAAACTTAAAAATTGAAGCGAATCTTCAACATTAAAGTTATTAAAATTCAGATATTTCAAGGCTACACGTCAAACAAAACCTACTATGCATAACTAAACATTGCTTATTTAGGAATATAAAAATATTGAGTACCTATTTACAATTCAAACAGATCTATTTAAAGCAGAGGAATGTACATAACATCAAATGACCGAGGCCAGTCTAACATTTCCTTCTAATCTAATGTTAGATTATAATTAAACTTATGAGATCAGCCTTGAGTGTGCAACACAATCTGTCCCATTAGCTGCATTCACTTTAGGACCACCAACTGTCAAACTTTTGTCGCTCTGCAATCAAGTACATCTGTACTGGTTTACAGAGAAGTTTACCCATAGAATATTAAAGAAGTATATTAGCAGCAGTGAGTGCAGCAGCCAGTAGTGTGAGCAAGTGAGGTAAGAGGTACTGAGTGGGAGACATGAAGGTTGGAGCACTGCTGGTCTGCCAACATGGCGTCACCTTCAAAATTTGCATGATCAGCGAGTCAAGGATGTTAGATGGGGTTGGGTCTTCACATTGCTCAGTGTACTTCACTACACATTGGTGCATAGCATTTACTTTTCTGAAAATATATAAAAGTGTTATGGTTAATGGTCCAAGTTAGATTAAGTATTTTAACTAATAAAAACACAGATCTGCTGAACAGTGTCTTCAATAAGCACTACCAATTCAATTACCATTTTTTTGGGGGGGTTATCTTGAGAAGATTTCGGGGCTTTTTTTTTTCGTTCCTGCGGCCCGGTCCTCGACCAGGCCTCCACCCCCAGGAAACAGCCCATGACAGCTGACCAATACCCAGGTACCTATTTTACTGCTAGGTAACAGGGGCATAGTCCGCTCGGATGACTGGCTCCCTGTGACGGGGGGGGGGGGGGGGGGGTGATTCTTGACAACTTTACATTTAAAAATTTATGCAAACCAGCTATTTGTGGGTAAAAATTAATGTTACAGGCTTTCAATAACAGTATTAGGAGACCATTATGTATATTCAAAATACTGTACTGTACATCAGTTTTAGTTTAATACACAAGTAGTACTACTGTCAATACAATGTTAGTACTGCATGGTAAAAAATTTGGCAAGTGAATTTCAGTACACTGTATTCAGTGAAGCAGAAAATCGACTGGTGAAGCAAATCTAAGAATATAACTTCCAATAAATTATCTTTGTAGACCAGGTAAGCTTTTGTATAATGTGGCTAAATATTAAATGAACATTTCCAAGATCAATTATAGAAAATCTTGTGTTTTGGCTTAGATTAAATGGACTTGGTACATAAAGAAAAAGACCAATAGTACTGTAGATTGTTTTCAAACCTAGTTGGACACTTCATTCACCAGATTAGTGGTCATGATTAATGGAAAATGGGAAAGAACAGTGATAAGAGTAAAAACACGACATTGTCAGATTATCTTGATAGATCGCCACAGTTTGAACTTTATATCTGGCTCAGCAAAATAGTGGGGAAAAAAGGAATAAATGGAAACTATTTTAGAGTCGAGTGGAACACTAGTATAGTAATTACATAAGAACATAAGAACAAAGGTAACTGCAGAAGGCCTATTGGCCCATACGAGGCAGCTCCTATTCTATAACCACCCAATCCCACTCATATACTTGTCCAACCCGTGCTTGAAACAATCGAGGGACCCCACCTCCACAATGTTACGCGGCAATTGGTTCCACAAATCAACAACCCTGTTACTGAACCAGTATTTACCCAAGTCTTTCCTAAATCTAAACTTATCCAATTTATATCCATTGTTTCGTGTTCTGTCCTGTGTTGATACTTTTAATACCCTATTAATATCCCCCCGGTTATGTCCATTCATCCACTTGTAAACCTCTATCATGTCACCCCTAACTCTTCGCCTTTCCAGTGAATGCAACTTAAGCTTTGTTAATCTTTCTTCATATGAAAGATTTCTAATTTGGGGAATTAACTTAGTCATCCTACGCTGGACACGTTCAAGTGAATTTATATCCATTCTATAATATGGCGACCAAAACTGAACTGCATAATCTAAATGGGGCCTAACTAGAGCAAGATATAGCTTGAGAACCACACCAGGTGTCTTGTTACTAACGCTGCGATTAATAAATCCAAGTGTCCGATTTGCCTTATTACGAACATTTATGCATTGATCCTTTTGTTTTAAATTCTTACTAATCATAACTCCCAGATCCCTTTCGCAATCCGACTTCGCAATCACAACACCATCTAGCTCGTATCTTGTAACTATCATCATTACCTAACCTCAGAACTTTACATTTATCAGCATTAAACTGCATCTGCCAATCCTTTGACCATTTCAAAACCCTATCTAGATCAACTTGAAGTGATAGTGAGTCCTCCTCCGAATTAATTTCCCTACCGATTTTCGTATCATCGGCAAATTTGCAAATGTTGCTACTCAAACCTGAATCTAAATCATTTATATATATTATAAACAACAGAGGTCCCAGGACAGAGCCTTGAGGCACTCCACTTACAACATTTTCCCACTCTGACTTGATTCCATTTATACTAACTCTGTTTCCTTTGGTATAGCCATGCCCTAATCCAGCTTAATATAGCACCCCCAATACCATGAGACTATTTTTTTAATCAGTCTTTCATGTGGCACTGTATCAAAAGCTTTGCTAAAGTCAAGGTATACAACATCACAATCCTTACCACTATCAACTGTCTCAACAATGCTAGAATAAAAAGATAACAAATTTGTTAAACATGAACGGCCATTTATAAAACCATGTTGCGACTCAATTATTAATTTATGTTTTTCAATTATAATTTATAATTAGGGCTGATAAAGAGCCAATGAGCATACCACAGATGGCTTTGATTTATTTTGTTTACTTTGTTATTTATGGCACTTTCAAAAAGTGTCATTTGGGCAGACTGATGCCATTAGGTCAGGGATGAAAAAGGACCAATAATTCTCCTGGTTGACACATTATCAGGGGGTAGAATTTAGGATTAATTCTTTTGGACCAATTCAAATTTAAGTTTTTATAAAACTTACTTGCAGTTTTCTTCATTTATTACGAGATCATTAATACCAATACTCAAAGGGTCACTTTGCGTCTCTTCAAGATCAGGTACCTTTTCTTCAATACAAGACTGTATTTTGTCTTTCTGGCTGTTTATACATTCTTCTCCCTCCTCAGCCATGAACACTGAAAGAGAATTATAAACCATACACTAGATAAATCAGTATAATACTGGAGTAAGATTAATATATTAATTATTTCAGATTTATTAAACTCAAATTGCAACACATGTAAACTAAAAGTAAATTACTTTGCTTTACCATTAATTTAAAACACTGGGAGAAAAAAAAAACATTGTTCAATGGTTTTATAAAAGATTAAAAAGCTACTTTTGCACTACACAGGATGCTCTTCCAGCTAGTGAAGCACAGAGCAGATGGAGAAAACTTTACAAACCTACAAAAACCAATACTCACAAGCAATTTTGTCTCCATCATTATGGCAAATAAAGTCTATTCCAGCATCTATGGCCTTCCTGGTAATGTTCAGGTCACGCAGCTCTCTTTCATTCATACACCTTTCAAGTTTGGTAAACAGAGCTTCAGCACAAGCCATGAGACGATCACGACGGCTGAAGTGATAAAATTGGATTTTTATTACAACTTCCTTACATTATTGACTGAAAATGCATTCTTCCAACCCAGTTCAGCAAGTAAATATATTGCACAAACTTTTCTGCCTAATGCTTTACCCTAACTATACAACCTTCAAAATTATGATCCTGATTGAATGCAATTCAAAAATTATGGGTTTTTATTAGACTATTGAATGTAGCTTTTGAGAATCATTTAACCACTACTGTGCACACCATATCAGAGAAGGGGGAGTGCATCAAACGGCACACGTTTGTTAATACAGTACATCTTAAAATTCAAAACTCCCATGGGTACACTGACCTTGCTTCCCGTTGCTCAGTACTAGTAAACGGATACACATGGTATTTTTCCATATTAAACCAGTGCACAGTACAGTGGTTAAGAGGCAAAAAACTAAAAGCATGAAATTGCAATGTATTGCATTCATAAACGTAATTCTCCCCGTGTCAAATATATTACGTGTACGTACAACCATTCTGATATATGGTACAAGACCGAACAATAAAATATGCCAATTATACAAGGTAGGGTATCCAAATTCGTAAATTTACAAGAGTGAGGTACTGTACTATATAGCAAGAACAGGAACTAAGCAATGTAACACTAAAATATGAAAGTTATTTATATAGTAGAAGTGTACCAGTATACTGTACATGCCAGCTAGGAAAGTAACCCTTTGGCCAAATTCAAATAAAAAATGTACTTTTCATTTGAAAAGTTACCTTTCCTTATCAAGGTGCTTCTAGACCAAAGTCTTTGATCCAGTCTCAGACCAGAATTTAGGCAATAAAGTTTCCACTTGTCAAAACATGCATTTCCTCAATCACAGCAGCTTAGTCTATATTTACAGTATTAAGCAGTTTATGAGCTTTAAAAGGCTGGGAAAAGTCAATCAAAAGGCTATTATGGCCAACATCTCTAGTGCTTTAGAGATCGAACCATTTTAATAAAGAAAACTGGCTACTATGAGGAAAGTTTAGGCTAATGCTTTTTGAATCCCTGGCCTTTGCCTTCTGGTTCACTGTCTGGTCAAATGCCGTTTAATGCCACTAAATGCAGTCTGAAAAGAATTGCAGACCAGTTTATCACCCTTTGGAGAAACTTGCCAAATACCCTCTAACACAGTTAAGGTACTTTTTGCACTCTTGCAAATAGCCCTATTGACCTGCATCTTTAGCCATGCTCCTGGTCATTTCTCGATTGAATATATTGAAAAAGTTGCCCGTTCCATTTTTATCAATTTAATCATAATATTTAATCTATACTGTACAAAACTTGCCAACCATCTAATTTACTCCCTTCCTGAAGTGGAGAGGATGAAACAAACATAAAATAAGATAAAGGAATTTAAATTTACCCTTCATAGTTTGACTATTTTGCAAGTCCAATACATTACAATACTGTATTTACATTCCTACCTGGTAGGAACTAAATGGACAAAATGCCTTACCCACAGTACTTCTTGAAGACCAAATCCAGCTCTCCCCTTGGTATGCTACGATTTATTTCTACTTGAAGTTTGCTCCAGTTGATTTGACGGCCAACACAGTCTCCTAAATTACTGCCAGACTCCTGTATTTTATGAAGTATATCATTAGACAAACTACATTTTAAAAATGTACTTTTCTTAAAGAAGCTGTCCATATAAATTTAAGAAGTTTAAATAACAGGCAATAAAGGAAGGCAATTCCAGTCTTGAACATTGGAAACTTAATACAAAATTCATTATCCTAAAATAATTTAAATTGCAGATAATTATACAACAAAGTGCATTAGCTGAAACCATGTTAAAATTATGTAGAATAGTTTTTATTTAGTTCTCTATCCACACATCTGGCAGGTCATTTTTCTTGCCTGTTGAGGAGGCTTAATATCAATCTTTCAAACTGCATCATGTTTTATGCAAACAGCCAAGATCTATGTTTGCAGTTGCTCAATGTACGGGAGATTAAATAATACAAGTGCTATCATACAGTGTACAGTACCGACTGTTTACCGTCTTTAAAAGCATGTACCCTAGTATGTTGGTCAAGGGTAATAAATACTGTATAATGTATACAATTAATACAACAATATTCAAAAAAGACTATACTATAGGAGTCATTTAGATTAGGAACTACTGTAAATATACTGGGGCAAAGTGAACAATTAGCAGTCTTCTAAACTCTTGCAAGGGTGACTCCATACAGCATCAATTGCTGTAGATCAATTTACAGCATCTTCCCCCACCCCTCCAGAACACACCCTACGTTAAGATGTCTGTACATTACTACTATTGCCAACAAAATTATCATACCTCTATATCATTTACAGCATCCTCTCCAACAGTTGCACGGCATCGTTCTTTCCAGTCTGCTATCTGTGGCACATCGTCAGGACTTTCTATGTTCTCTGCAAAGTTTGCAGCATCTCCCAAATTCAACTGTTGCCCCACAATACCTATAAAAGAAAAAAAATCCATGTTCCATATTATAATTACAATGTTGTCATTAGTAATGCATTAATGGAAGTTAAGCCAATTTAAACAGCATGGCAATTACACACACACCAGTGTACAAGAGTTCTTACATTCTTGTACAGCCATTGGCATGTGAAGCATTTTGGTCAAGTCCTTAATCCTATGTTCCCCATAATATGACCCGCCAAATTGTTTAACTAGATACCCATTTTACTGTTGGGTAAATAGAGGCTAGTTAGGCTAGAGCTAGAGGTTAAGGATTGATGCCCAGTAAATCCTCCCCGGCCAGGATACAAACCCAGGACAAAGCGCTCACGAAACGCAAGGCAAGCGTCTTGCTTCACTACGGGAACTTGCCTGCTCAATTGTTTAATAGCCAACAGTTCAAAACCCTAGCTAGAACTAGTCCCATTTAAGAACTGGTTTTCCATATTCGGGGACCAATTACCCAAATATTGCTAGGTGGAGGCATTGATCAGATGTATTTTAAACAGTTTGACCAAATGACACTGGGAATCAAATGGCTATTTGACATGCTGACCACATCACCTGTTATTTCCATGTTGGAGCAGTATACAGTATTCTGATCCTACATATTTCAGGCTTAAACTCTATTGTCCTCATACCTTGAGAATCATTACTAGCGATACTAGTCTTTCGTACAGGATCTAGTCTATCCCATTTCTTTACTAATATAATGGTCATTATTATTCCCTTAGAAACAAGCATTTCTGGGCTTTCAGTACTGTAGTCTGCACTGCAGTAGCAGCCTTAGGATCCATATGCAATTTTTTTTAGTTCCCAACTCTTTTACATTTAGTTCCTCCAGTTGCTTCTCACTTCACATGTTGCTACATCTATTTTGATTTATGTTGGCTAGTTTAAAGCTATCTTGTGTTTCATAGTAGTCCCAGCTCTGAGGTGGGAAAAGTATTCATAAATGTTTTCAAGCAAGTCAAAAACTTTTACCCTGTGCAGGTAGTCGACAAGTGGGATGAACTGAATTTGTGGAAGCTACCTCCATCCACAACTTTACAGCCAGGCACAACAAAACATTGAAGTGTCAGAATAGTTATACAGCACACTAATGCAACAGACAAGGATAGTATGCATGGCATAAAGAGCTTAACCTCACTTTCCAGTAGACACTGATATGAAAGTACAATTCTGGCAAAATGATCAAAGCTGCTGCAAAGTGCATACACTGAAGATATACCAGTGCTCTAAAAACTGGCATAGTTCAGTTGTCCAAGATTAGCTCTAGCTAGCATTTTTACATTAGGAAAGAACATTGCCAAGGTCGACCTTTTACTTTTGTACCATCCCAGAGGAAAAAGTAATTATACATTGTCAAGTTAGATTCAACACCATTATAGGAAATTCATACAATCAAATACTGGGCCATCACTTTACATACTACATTGATAATGAAATTACACAAGTCAATATTTCTATATACAGTACTGTATAAATGACATCTGTATGCAAGAATGTAGACCCGTTTGTAGGAGGCCACACACTTTGGGCGAGCATCATCCAACTTCGCAAGGTGAATGGTCTGGGGTTTAGGATGGATACAAGCTTATCAGGCTGGGTCCTAGTCCTATTAAGTGGGGTCTGGCATAATCGTGATCTGTATAAAAATCAGTACAAGGTGGTTGGCAGAGTCCCTAGATTTCTTGGCACGTAAATCAAGAGAATGTGTGTGTGTAAGGTTGAAGGCCAGATGGGAAAGAAGGGGTAGAGAAGGGGAAGAAAGGGTAGGGAGAGGAAAAAAAGGAACATAAGAACATAAGAACATAAGAACAAAGGCAACTGCAGAAGGCCTGTTGGCCCATACGAGGCAGCTCCTATTCTATAACCACCCAATCCCACTCATATACTTGTCCAACCCGTGCTTGAAACAATCGAGGGACCCCACCTCCACAATGTTACGCGGCAATTGGTTCCACAAATCAACAACCCTGTTACTGAACCAGTATTTACCCAAGTCTTTCCTAAATCTAAACTTATCCAATTTATATCCATTGTTTCGTGTTCTGTCCTGTGTTGATACTTTTAATACCCTATTAATATCCCCCCGGTTATGTCCATTCATCCACTTGTAAACCTCTATCATGTCACCCCTAACTCTTCGCCTTTCCAGTGAATGCAACTTAAGCTTTGTTAATCTTTCTTCATATGAAAGATTTCTAATTTGGGGAATTAACTTAGTCATCCTACGCTGGACACGTTCAAGTGAATTTATATCCATTCTATAATATGGCGACCAAAACTGAACTGCATAATCTAAATGGGGCCTAACTAGAGCAAGATATAGCTTGAGAACCACACCAGGTGTCTTGTTACTAACGCTGCGATTAATAAATCCAAGTGTCCGATTTGCCTTATTACGAACATTTATGCATTGATCCTTTTGTTTTAAATTCTTACTAATCATAACTCCCAGATCCCTTTCGCAATCCGACTTCGCAATCACAACACCATCTAGCTCGTATCTTGTAACTCTATCATCATTACCTAACCTCAGAACTTTACATTTATCAGCATTAAACTGCATCTGCCAATCCTTTGACCATTTCAAAACCCTATCTAGATCAACTTGAAGTGATAGTGAGTCCTCCTCCGAATTAATTTCCCTACCGATTTTCGTATCATCGGCAAATTTGCAAATGTTGCTACTCAAACCTGAATCTAAATCATTTATATATATTATAAACAACAGAGGTCCCAGGACAGAGCCTTGAGGCACTCCACTTACAACATTTTCCCACTCTGACTTTATTCCATTTATACTAACTCTCTGTTTCCTTTGGTATAGCCATGCCCTAATCCAGCTTAATATAGCACCCCCAATACCATGAGACTATCTTTTTAATCAGTCTTTCATGTGGCACCGTATCAAAAGCTTTGCTAAAGTCAAGGTATACAACATCGCAATCCTTACCACTATCAACTGCCTCAACAATGCTAGAATAAAAAGATAACAAATTTGTTAAACATGAACGGCCATTTATAAAACCATGTTGCGACTCAATTATTAATTTATGTTTTTCAAGATGAAGACGAATTTTATTTGCTATTATAGATTCGAGTAACTTTCCCACAATAGACGTTAGGCTAATTGGTCGATAGTTAGACGCAAGTGATCTATCTCCTTTCTTAAAAACTGGTATCACATTAGCAACTTTCCAAAACTCTGGCACTCTGCCTGACTCTATTGATTTATTAAATATGGTTGACAGTGGGTCACAAAGCTCCTCTTTGCATTCTTTAAGCACCCTAGCAAACACTTCATCCGGCCCTGGGGATTTGTTTGGTTTGAGTTTTACTATTTGTAAGTTTTACTATTTGGGCGGGGAGAAAATGGAAGAGGTTGGGAGGGGCGGGGTAACTATTCCGGAACCCATTGGGTCTCCCTTTAATACTGTATAACTCAAACAATGGGATCTGGAGGACGAGCAAATGTACCAGAAAAACTATCCAATAAAAATCATGTTTGTATGGGCACTGGACCAGAAATGTGAGAGGGGAGGAAAAAAACAAAATAACAGAAGTTATGAGGTGTTGCACAAGCACCCAACTCACCTGTGAGGGCAAACATCACCACAACACAAACAGGTACTTTCCAACCCATAGCCAGAGTGTGTCCTTGACTCCTGTCTTCAGCACGCGTCTAGCGATTGTCACTGGTGCTCTACCCGGCCTCTTACTGTCTAGCTGCCGTTCCGCACTTCTCAGAGTCACTGGTTCAACTGCCCCAGTAGTGTCCTCGGCCGCAGCTACCAATGTAATGACACAGGCAACAGCAGCCCCGGGCCCAGTGAGCGTCAGCTGACCGCTCCGGCCCTTGTTATGGCTAGTGCAGCTGTACTCACGCCTGCCAACACACACCTCCCTCGCACACCAACACTCACAACTATTATTTCGAAAAATGCCTTTCATATAATACCAATCATATGTATATGTAACGAAAAATATGTATATAATCCTCAAAGTTTTAAAACCGAGTAGATGGTATAGAGGTAATTTACACATAAAGGAACACTTGCCATTGGTATTACTGCGAGCTATGCCAATGGTGCTGCTTCAACATTTTACCTGGTAATTTACACCAATTTCGGGCACTAGAGACCATTGATTTGGTCAGTGTGAAAATAAGCAGTTGAAATTCAAATATTTACCTTCATGCAGAAGTTGTTTTTCGTTCCTACATGAAGCAAACACGTCTTATTAAACCAAACAAACTTCTTGTCCCTAACTATGGGAAGACCTTTGACATGATCTATCCCTGTCAAGGCCTCATGTATATAATATAGGCCTATCTATCTAATTTACATAATGACAAAAGGCATAATGATTGAGGAACATATGGTATACAATATTATAATATCATAATAACTATAAGAACATAAGAATAAAGGCAACTACAGAAGGCCTATTGGCCCATACGAGGCAGCTCCTATTTATAACCACCCAATCCCACTCATATACTTGTCCAACCCGCGCTTGAAACAATCGAGGGACCCCACCTCCAGCACGTTATGCGGTAATTGGTTCCACAAATCAACAACCCTGTTACTGAACCAGTATTTACCCAAGTCTTTCCTAAATCTAAACTTATCCAATTTATACCCATTGTTTCGTGTTCTGTCTTGTGTTGATACTTTTAATACCCTATTAATATCCCCTTTGTTATGTCCATTCATCTACTTGTAAACCTCTATCATGTCACCCTAACTCTTCGCCTTTCCAGTGAATGCAACTTAAGCTTTGCTAATCTTTTTTCATATGAAAGATTTCTAATTTGGGAAATTAACTTAGTCATCCTACGCTGGACACGTTCAAGTGAATTTATATCCATTCTATAGTACGGCGACCAAAACTGAACTGCATAATCTAAATGGGGCCTAACCAGAGCAAGTGGCTGAAAAACCACACCAGGTGTCTTGTTACTAACGCTTCGATTGCTAAATCCCAGTGTCCTATTTGCCTTATTACGAACATTCATGCATTGATCTTTTTGTTTTAAATTCTTACTAATCATAACTCCCAGATCCCTTTCGCAATCCGACTTCGCAATCTCAACACCACCCAGCTCGTAACTTGTAACTCTATCATCATTACCTAGTCTCAGAACTTAACATTTATCAGCATTAAACAGAATCTGCCAATCTTTTGACCATTTCAAAACCCTATTTAGATCAACTTGAAGTGATAGTGAGTCTTCTTCCGTGTTAATTTCCCTACCGATTTTTGCATCATCGGCAAATTTGCAAATGTTGCTACTCAAACTTGAATCTAAATCATTTATATATATTATAAACAACAGAGGCCCCAGGACAGAGCCTTGAGGCACTCCACTTACAACATTTTCCCACTCTGACTTAACCCCATTTATACTTTTTTTTTTTTTGAGATATATACAAGAGTTGTTACATTCTTGTACAGCCACTAGTACGTACGCGTAGCGTTTCGGGCAGGTCCCTGGAATACGATCCCCTGCCGCGAAGAATCGTTTACTAACTCTCTGTTTCCTTTGGTATAGTCATGCCCTAATCCAGCTTAAATATAGCACCTCCAATACCATGATCCTCTATCTTTTTAATCAGTCTTTCATGTGGCACTGTATCAAAAGCTTCGCTAAAGTCAAGGTACACAACATCACAATCCTTACCACTATCAACTGCCTCAACTATGCTAGAATAAAAAGATAACAAATTTGTTAAACATGAACGGCCATTTATAAAACCATGTTGCGACTCAATTATTAATTTATGTTTTGGATTCATGAACTATAAGGCAATCGCTAGCAGAGGTAACTAAAAACTGGTACGCCAAGTCACGACCTTTTAATGCCCTTGAACGTACCTGTGCAGGGTCACTGAGCGGCTACCTGGTGACGTCATTGACCATTAGCGATGTCTGTGCAAGGGTCACTGAGGTAACGAAATTAAAGTGCGACGGAAGACGCGCTGTTAATCCCCTCGAACAAAATGGCCGGGCCTAGGAGCGAACCTTTTTATCTAACATTTTGGAAAATTGCATGTGATGGATGGGAGAAGACAATGAGGTACTAACGAATAAAAATTAAAAAAGCATACCCTGAGCAAGAACCAAAACGTTGGGAAAATTTAAAACATGCTCCAATGACCGTGCATCAGAAAAAAAAATGGAGACCCCCCAGGCCCCAATGTCCGTGCGTGGGGGGAAAAATGGCTACCTTAACCTCGTGTTTTTGTAAAATGATAGAGAGGATCATTTTAAATAGACTTTTATATATAATAGGTGATCAGCTGTCTAGTAGTTTGTTCGGGTTCCTCAGAGGAAAAAGTACCTTTGACTGTATTATTAAATGTCTAGCTAATGATAATGATTATGATAAAATTTTTATTGATTTACAAGGAGCTTTTGATAAAGTCAACAAAGAGGTTTATATGAATTAGCTGGTCTTGGTGTTAAAGGGAGATTATTGCGCTGGATAGGGGATTATCTTTACGAAAGGAAGGCTCAGGTGTGGTATCAAGGTTGTATGTCAGGTGTGAGGTCTTTTGAACTCGGCACACCTCAGGGAGAAGTGTTGAGTCCCACCCTGTTAAATGTACTAATGAATAAGATACCACCCGAGAGATACTCAAATGGGGTAACTCCGATCATATATGCCGATGATATTTCAAAGGTTCAAACGGTGTTGGATAATTTCGGAAACCTGTGTCACCATATGGGACTGGTGATCAATGAAGACAAAACTAAGTTTGAATGTAGAAGTCGGAGGCCCATTATATTGAAAATAAACGGTAAAAATATTGAGAGTTAATATGTATAAATATTTAGGCATATATGTTGGATATACACGTGAGAGTTTGGAAGCTGAGATGAACAGACTGTTGGATCAATGCTATTTATTTATTTATTTATTTATTTATTTATTTATTTATTTATTTATTTATTTATTTATTTATTTATTTATATACAAGAAGGTACATTGGGTTTGTGAGAATACATAGCGTAGTACAGTAATTACACTCTTGTAAAGCCACTAGTACGCGCAGCGTTTCGGGCAGGTCCTTAAAATTATCTAACAGATAATTTTAAGTAGGTAAATTCTATCAGAATTAATAAAATGATAACAAATACATTGCAAGAAAAAAATGAGATGAGAGAGATTAGTAAGTATATTAAAGCACATTGGTATATTAAAGCTCTGATTGATTACATTGACAGCTTGATTGGTAATTTAAACAAGATTAATAGACACCATACAGCAGATTGACAGCACACATAAGAAGACAGCAATGATCGCAATGGTAAAGATGTTCAGATTGGGTACATAAAGACTGGGAGATTGGGTAGCAATAGATACAGTGCAGCTTTAAAGCAAAAGGTAAAAAACTATGAAGATGAAATTAGGTACTTTTGAGTATTGTTTTTGAATGACACAAAAGTTGGATAGCTTTTCAATTCAATAGTGAGTGAGTTCCATAGACTGGGTCCCTTTATTTGCATAGAGTGTTTACACAAATTAAGTTTGACTCTGGGGATATCAAAGAGATATTTATTTCTGATGTGGTGATAATGGGTCCTATTACATCTGTCCAGGGAGAGTTTCAGAGCAGGATTTGCATTTAAGAACAGGGTTTTGTAAATGTAGTTGACACAAGAGAATTTATGGAGTGAGATTATGTTTAGCATGTTTAGGGAGTTAAACAAGGGGGGCTGAGTGCTGTCTGAAAGCAGAATTTGTTATTATTCTGATAGCAGATTTTTGCTGGGTAATGATGGACTTGAGGTTGTTTGCAGTGGTTGAACCCCATGCACAGATACCATAATTAAGATAGGGATAGATTAGTGCATAATATAGAGAGATGAGAGCAGAGTTAGGTACATAATATCTGATTTTGGAGGAAGTCGGAAGTCGGAATGTCGGAAGAGATTACAACCTCTGAAGGCCTTGGCATGCTGTGGAAAGGGAGTGGGAGTCCCTGTGCTACGAATGATATACTTGAGTACTGTATGATCTCTTATTGATTATGCTGCACCTGTCATTTCTTGTTTTGGTAAAGGTAGGATGGGCAAGTTGGAGAAGGTACAAAATGAAGCCATGAGAATTATCTTAGGATGCCCAAGAAGTGCTATGATTGAGATAATGAGGATGGAGTTGAATCTGCAGAGTATTGGGGATAAAATTTCAGAGATAAATGTAGCCTCTGCCATTAGATTAATGAGAGGTGGGGGAACTAATGAATTAATCCTCTCGGTTCAAACGGTGGGAAGAGATGAACAATGTATGATAAAGAAGAGAGCATATATGAATACCTTATGTTATAATGTTATAAAGTATGATGTTATTACAGAGTGTATTGCTGTGCCCAAGAGACAATTCACACCACCATGGGAGGATTGTAATGTAGATGTAGTAATTATTCTCTTGCAAAAAAAAAAAAGTATGTATGAAATAGGAGAGCTGAGGGCAACATATGATTGTATAATTAGAAAATTACCTACAGAAAACACTCTACATGTATATTGTGATGGGTCAGTAGCTAGGGATGGGAAGGTAGGATGTGGAGTCTTGATCAGGGAGTACACTGACATCGGCACTGTAGATACTGTTATTGGCCGCCGCTTAACTGACAATGTCTCTTCAACGCAGGCTGAACTCCAAGGTGTATTAGCAGGATTACAGGAAGTAGTCATATGTGGTAAAAATGCTTGCTTCTTTATTGACAGTAGAGGAGCGTTAAAGTCTTTAAATAGCAGACGCCCAGTATACCAGAATGTTGTGATAGAGAGTAGAGAGAATGTTAAGAAATTAGAAAAAAACTGGGTATAAAGTAAGATTCACGTGGGAATACTGTTCCCACAATAATAATA